GCCTAGATATATCAATCCTTAACTGCTTTATACTTTCAGTTATGGCATGTATCATAAACTTCCTAGTTCAACCATAATCTAAGTCATCTTAACCACTAACTTATTTTCTACCTTCTACCATGAGATCTACATCAACTTACTACCCCTTAGTTAACACCTGAATACATATCACCTCAATTCTAAGTTAATGGATACATAACTTCTATACATATATACTACACTCTGATAATTCATTATCCTAACCTTTCTGAATACTATAGCTAGATTCACACTTATAATTTTGCGACATTCTATTAATAAATCATAACATCCCAAATCACACTATCTTATGGGTGACAATACTGTCCAAGAATCTGGATACATACTTTCTCCTTTCATGAATGTTCTATGTAACGAAGGATTATAGAAGAATCCAAATGCATGTCATTTTTTTGCTCAACAACACAATTCACATAAATAGAACTTAAAATTTTGAATTAATGGGCTAAAACACACTAATGGGCTCCTCTCAAGCCATTTGTGCAATCTCTGAAATGATGATAGTTCTATCTAAGAACACCTTATCCAGTAGGAATTGAGCCTAACTACTTCTATAACCTCGAAGATGAGGAATAGTTAAGAAAATTGAAGCAACACATGAATCTGCATATGTTTCTTAGGGGATACCTTGGTTGCACGATCTAGAGTATGAAAAAAAAGAAATATTTCCTAAACATCATGTAGCTTCCCCTTATAAGTGTGGTGCGCTTCACAACCATAAAAAGAACTACTAGATGAGGCTTTTCAGACATCCTAGGACACTTGAACCTAATGCTGAACCAAATGCTTTGATACCAACTTTGTCACGACCCGATTCTACACCCTAACCGAGACACGGTACTTGAAACCACAAGTGATCCCAAGCTAACCCTTGGCATAGCATACATATCAAAACATATCATATGAAAACTAAAGCGGAAGTTGTAAACTAAAATCATAATTGAAATAGATTTTAGAAATAAGTCTATTACAACTGAATACTATTGTCTGAAAGCCTCAAGCCTCTTAACTGAATAAAACAATTTGTCGGGACAAGACCACGGACTGCATGAAAGCTAACACAACTAAAGTTAATAAAATCCAATAACTCATAACTGAAGTCCTCTGAATGCGAGGAGGACTCACCACAATGTTGAAAGTAGGGGAACTTAGCGGAATGTCTTCCCGCAAATCTGAATCACTTTGTTGAAATCTATTCATAAAACGATGTAGTGTCAATATATGGAATGTATTGTTATGCAAGGTAAGTAATTCAAGAAATCATGTTATCGAATAATAAAAATGGTGAATTTGAAAGTGGGCTTATAAACCTTAACCATAAAATTGAATTCATGAAAACTGAGGAATTTTAGACATGAGGATGAAAGGAATTCCTCATTAGATTCCTAGATACCTTAATTGCTTCAAAATATCCAAGAAAACATGAATCTTGGAAGAAGAACCACGAAACCCCTCTTGAACCTTGGAGATGAGTTCTTGATGTCTTTTTCTTGAAAATCTATGAATATCATGAGTAGGGGGCATTAATTTGTGTTAAGATGAAGAAATTATGAAATTCTATGGTCAAATCTTATATTGGATGGTGGATGAACCTTGTAAAAAGTTAGTTTCTTGAGAACTTCTCTTTCTAGGGTAAATTTATGAACTAGGGAGGTGAACCACGACTTTGGGGTCTTTTATAGGGTTTCTGACGTACACTATTGCGCGGATAACGTATTAGGCGTGTGGCAAGGTAGTAGTCGCTTCCTCACGGCGCTAGCATGCAGCCGGCGCGCTGCTCGTGCAAAACAAGACAGTGTCTAGTAAAATGAGCATAACTTTGCGTACAAATATCGAATTTACGAATAGTTTGATGCGTTAGAAACTAGACTCAAATATCTTCAATTTGACAGGTCATGGGTCATCTAACCCTTCATGTGTTGAGAGATATGGTCGTTTGAAGCTGACCCTTGCATGAACTCTTGAGAAAAACTTAGCCGGAAGAAAGGTTTAGAACTAGGCTTGGTGTTTGAGGTACCTTACAACTCAAACACATACAATACACTTATCACACTTAGTAAACGACCTTAACATCTATGTACAACTTAGAAATCATCGGGTTCAGGCCTGGACGCATATAGAAGATGGTTCAAATTTCGCTTGGGAGTTGCAGGGAATTACAATGACCTTAGATAGGAAGGTGCGGAGAACACAAATTAGGGTAGAAGGTTAGCATGTAAGACTGCGTCCATACTAGTAGTAGAACTACGCTTATTGTTTCTTGTTCTTTGATTTTTGTTAATACCTCTGTGGTTTCTTGTATTTTGTTGTAGTTTGATTATAGTATTATTTGTTGTAGTGTTGTTCTGCTACTATTTGTTGTGTTTGTTATTATTTATTGTCTCTTGTACTTCAATTACGTCTTATTCTAGATTGTTTTTGTCTTTGAGATGAATGTCCATCGCAAACAACTTCTCTACCTCACCTCTTAGGTAGATGTAAGGTCAGTGTACATTCTACCCTCCTGTGACCCCCATTTTGTGGAACTACATAGGGCATGTTTTCTTGTTGTTGCTGCTGCATTAGGTACTCATGCTAGGGACACGAGCACACTTGCTTCTCGTTTTTATAGCTACTCCTGCAAAATACATCCCATTTCATTCACTCATTCAACTATATTTCCTACATAGCCTTAGATACTCGTGCTAGACACACATGCAAACTTAAGAATTGTTCTTATATGGGTACTGCTCAAGTTGCATTAAATAGGTTTTATGGTGAAGTTAAGATAAATGAACTGTATTGGTGGCCTTCAAATCAAATTAATGTATGAAATTTCTAGTAGATTTTATAAAAACAGCTTGATTAAGAAGCAGAACAATACCAGATTATCAATTACAGTAATGCAGGTATAGTAGAAGTTGTCACATGACACCAATTTTGCAAAAATGTTCCCCTTTTCTTGATGAACAAGCATTTCCAATCAACAATGAGTTTCATCTAAAATTTTGCTCGGCTTGCAGTTTTTTATGATCATAAATCAGAAAATTCAGATATTCTGTTTTATTTTATTGACACTGCCTTCAAATATGCATAAGCAGAAACAGTCAGGCACACTTGAATGTTGCTCATAGATGAGCCACTTTTCTTGCACTGAAATGGTTATAAGGTAAAAGTAAGAAAAAGATGAAGGAACTCTGCTGCACAAAATTTGTATACGAACTTGCTCACTAATATGGGACATATCTTTAAGAAGACTACTTAATGACTGGGAGGTGGAGAGGGTGGCAGCGCTACTGGAAAAACTAGCTGGAATGATTGTAACTACAACAGCAACAGACAAGATCCTGTGAAAACATAGCAAGGATGGAGTCTTCTCAGTCAACAATGCCTACAAAAGAGGACTAATGGGGATGACAGGGACCCCAAAATATAATTGGAACTCCTTTTGGAAGAGTGACATTCCTACAAAAGTAAAGTGTTTCACCTGGTTAGTGATATTTAACAGAAGAAGTTCTACAAAAGAAAGGCAGACAACTGGTTCCTAGGTGTTTTTTGTGCAACTTGACAGGGGAAACAAATAACCATCTCTTCCTGCATTGTAAGTTTACTGCTCAAATTTGGAACTTGTTTCTCAACATCACAAGCATGAACTGGACAATGCCAGAACATACATCAGATCTGTTGAGCTGCTGGATTAGGAGGGGAGGCAGTAAGAGTCAAAAGAGATGGTGGAAGCTAATACCATCATGTGTATGGTGGTCAGTCTGGAAAGAAAGAAATGGAA